ACACACACACACACACACACACACACACACACACACACACACACACACACACACACACACACTCTCTCTCTCTCTCTCTCTCTCTCTCTCTCTCTCTCTCTCTCTCTCTCCCTCACTCACTCTTATTCATTCTCTCTCTCTCTTCTCCCCCAAACTCCTTAAAAACGGTATGTAACATGGAGGACTTTATTTTCACTTAGAATTGTCAGGCTTATATCTGAAATGCTTTAAAAAATAGACTAATTTTCTAAAAATAACTTAAAAATTTTTTTGTAATATTCATTGTAGTTAATTACGTGTTTATAATGTAGGGCAATGGGTCTCCATCTTTTGAGATGATGGTAGGCATCTATTTATTCATGATAATACTTACTATTTAATAAGTATTTGATATGTGTCTGTACATACAGGATCTTTACCTGTATTATTTCATTTATTAAGTAGGAAATACTATTTCCACGTTACAGATGAGGAAATGGAGGCTTAAAGAAATGAGATAGTTTGCTCAAGATCACACAGTTAATAGTGGTGAAGTTGAGACTCAAATTACACAGCCCATGCTACTAGATTTGAACATACCTTTTTTATTTATGTAATTCTCTTTTCTATTCATGAAAGCATATTCAAATGCAAGTTAGTTACAGTGCTGTTATAAGGATAACCTGGAATCCATCCTAAATTCTGAAAAAGTAAATAATTTTTACATTACACATAGTAACAAACTTGCAATTCACCTCCCAGTTATTTTCTTGCTAAGATTAAGAACTACCATAGAGTATGTGATAATATGAGAAAGAAAAATAAAATTGAAGAATCAAACTGGAAAAAATAAGAAAGTTATAGAATTAATTACTGAGACTGGGTTTATTGAAGATTTATAAACTTAGAAGAATCTGAAAAACTGGTTTCTCCCTTTTTTAGTCAGGACCACATAAGATTATACATAGTCAGAACTTTGTTTAATATACTTATAATATGAATGTGTGCATTATAATCATCACTTCAAGAATTATGTATTTAATCCCTAAGCTAAATACCTCTTGTTAATTAAATTGTGTATTCTTCCTTTGCCTCAGAATACCTGCAAGTCCTATTTGGGAGGTGGAGAGGTTGGATAAATTTTTGAAAGTATAGAAAATATTTATTTCCTAGTTGTCTTCTCAATATATAGATAATTTCTTTTCATCATTTCATGTAAGTCTTAGTCTCAGTCTTTGCGTTAGCTGACTTATTGAAGGTACAGTGGTCTGTGGTGTCCTCTTGAGTATGAACTTCTAATTCTCCTTTACCTGTGTACTGTGGGGCCAAGAGGTCAGTCAGCATTTACCTGCATCCCTCCTGATATCTTCAGATCAGTGTCTATGTACTATTAGGCCAGAACCCCTTTGCCTTTGAAACTCACATCATCTTCCCTTTCTTATTGCTACTGTCACTCAGTCATTTATGTAAGTCCCCTACATTTATCTGGGCATCTGGCTTATCATTTTTCTTTTAAACTTGTTTTAGTTTATTCCCACTTCCAAGTGTGTGACCCATTCATTTTCTTGATCATCTTCACCTTCGCTACCTACTCCCATTTCCTGTTAGACCTTGATATCATTGGTAACAAAAGCCTTGCGCCTGAATATCACATTCAGTGCCTGCAACCTCCTTTTCTTCCAACTCCATATACCTGTTTTCTGACCTGAGCAGGAAATCTAGCCCTTAGTGTCTTTATCTTCTGCCACTCTATTATCCTTTTCCCAGCTTTATTTTATTCATTGTTGTGCTTAGATTGTTTGGTCCATCTTTAATTACTCCCTCAAGATTATCCTAGAATTCATTTCCTTTAACTATAACTATCTCACAGGCCCTAAACTCTGGGTCAGCGGAGACTCTTTTATTCCCGTAACTGGATGGCTGATGGCTGTTGGAGAGTATCACATAACTCAAATATTGTTGGTGCCATTGCAAACCCATGCTCCCATTTCTCAGCTGGGTCTTCAATACCACGTGTTCAGCCTCCTGCTCGTCCTTAGACTGTGAGACTCATGTTCTTCCAAACTTTGGCCATTCTTCTTAAACTCTTTATCTTACCCTCTTCCTGAATGTTCTCCAAATATAGTTGTTAAGGAAATAAATTAGTGATAGGCTTCTAAGATCTTTAAGATTTCCTCAAATAAAATAATGGGCAAATGAGTTTTTGCCCTGCATTTTGAGCAGGAAGCTGATGAAACTAAGAGCTCTTTGATATCAAGACCTTTAAAAGAATTTACTTCATTTAAAATCTAAAGTAAAACAATAGTAAAACAGTTTTATGATGCCATGAAATTAAACAATTTAAATTTAATTTAGTATAAATAATATAAATAAAAGTAAATATAAAGTAAATTAAGGCAATCAAGTGTGTGGTATTCTCAATTCTGTAGGACATTAAATTGCATGATTGGACAGATGAAGCATATCTTGGCTGCAGAACAAAAGAAAACAGATTTTAAGCCAGAAGATGAAAACAATGTTTTGATTCAGTATACTAATGTGAGTAAAATGATTCAATATGCTAGTTAAGAATATTTGCTTTAGTACTTCTGTTAACATTTTCATTGATGTGTCTTATTATGCTCCAAATTTTTTTCTTTTACACTTAGAAATTAAATGAGAAACTATATGTATTTTCTCCTTAGCTAAGTTGATACACATTTCTATGTAATAAGTATAGAAAAAATTTTACAGGCCTGTGTTAAAGTCTGTGCTTATGTAAGAAAACAAGTGGAGAAGATTAAAAATTCCATGGATGGGAAGAATGTGGATACAGTTTTGATGGAACTTGGAGTACGTTTTCATCGACTTATTTATGAGCATCTTCAACAATATTCCTATAGTTGTATGGGTGGCATGTTAGCAATTTGTGATGTAGCTGAATATAGGAAGTGTGCCAAAGACTTCAAGGTATGTATTCACAAATATCATACTTGTAAATAGGCTCAAGAACATAAGTCAGATCATTAAAAATGTGTATCAGTTATAATCATTAGTAAAAAGTTTATAACTTTTGTAGACATTGTAGTGAGACAGATCTAACGTTTCCTAACTGAAAATGTGTTGTTCCAATCATATTTTCAGTATTAACATGATTTTGCTGTGAACTTTATCTTAGACAAGCCCATATTTCAGTTCCATGGTCAAAATGACCTTGTTAACATCCATAACTAATGTTGTATATATCACATACTAGGAAAATAGGTTCTTTCTTCTTGTATATCTCTCTGAAATTAGTATCCCTTAAGGTTTAAATTATTTTAAAAAACTGCTAAATTAATGATAAATAGTTCTAGTCCACAAAAGTATAAATGATTATTACTATTGAAGATCATTGGTGTAATATGAATCTTTTCAAAAAGCTTATAGCATGTTCACGTAATATCTGAAGTATTTTGAGTTTTAACACTTCTGGAGCTTTTAAAAATTCTAATATATTGAACTGTCTAACATTAGTAAGTCCTGACTAACAGTATATAAGTGAGAAGAATTTACAAACTGATTGTAAAACTAGAAATTATTTTGTTTCAATGTTATCTGTTTCCCTCTCTTATCTCAATTCAGATTCCACTGGTATTACAGCTTTTTGATACTCTGCATGCACTTTGCAATCTTCTGGTAGTTGCCCCAGATAATTTAAAGCAAGTCTGCTCAGGAGAACAACTTGCTAATCTGGACAAGAACATTCTTCACTCCTTCGTACAACTTCGTGCTGACTATAGATCTGCCCGCCTTGCTCGACATTTCAGCTGAGGTTGAATTTAAAGGGAAATGTGTTGTACTTCAGCAGGCCTTTGTTGATAGAAAGCACAGGAGGTTTCTTATGACACAACTAACATTTTATGGAAAAATGACTGTTTGGAAAAACAGCAGCCATACTTGCCCTTGAGATTTTATTTGAAATATGGACAATACTAACCATATTTTGCTTTTTTCCCTTAAGTTGAATTTTAATTCCCTTTTTGAACTTACAAATTTCAGATTCTGTTAAACTACATGTTATTGTCTTCATCCTGGAAAATGTTGGTGTTAGACAGCAAATGAGATCCTTACCAGTGTTCCAGTATATCTTTAATATATTCCACTGAAAAATTTCACCATCCTATTTTGCACTAATATAAAATACAGCAAAACTGCATTTATTATTTATCATTTTTAACGACCTTTTCAGCACTGGTAATTGTTAACCAAGTTATTTTAGGTTTTCCTGAAGAACTTTTTACCTCTTTCAGAAGGTTAACAATTGGGCATAATTTCTGTAGTTGATTGAATTTTTTCTGAGGTACAACAATACTACTATTCCAAGAAAAATGTTATAAACAAAACTAAAATGATGAAATGTTTTATGTAGCTATTAGTGGTGGATCAGAGTACATCTGCTTTCTGGGTAAAGAAAACTTAAGAAAGTTTACAATTTCTTATTTGGTAAACAGATTTTAAGCCAATGCTAACAAGAAATTAATAAAACTACCTTATTTTATATATCACTTAAGATAAGGTGAAGGGCCTTTAAAGGACCATATTTATTCGTTATTTTACTGTTATAAGGGAAGTAAAAAAGTGAAGTATAGTCTAAATGGTGCATATGAGAAGTATTGACAATGTTTAGCAACAACGCAGTGCTTTAAGATTTCTACCCTTGTGCTAAACTGAAGTAAGATGGGATGGCTAAACATGCAGGAAATATATTTTCAGAGGAATTGGAAGTTGATGACACGATATATTCTAAGTCTTGAGATGAGTTTTGTAAGTAATAGTTGTTTTTTAAATCTATAGTTTCTGTCATTGCCTTTTTCAAGGCATTTCTGAAGCGATTCCTACTGAATATAGTTAATTGAATTGGCTTAATATGGTGACATAATAAATCACTTATAAAATTTTAAACATCAGTTGGAAATTTAGAAAGGCCTATACTCTAAGAACTATAAACTTGCTCTGTGAGAATATGTTCTTAGCTATATGTAGTGTTTCAGCTTCTGTTGTGTTCATAGTCTTCCAGGAACAGATAAACTTTAATGTTCAACTCATTCTTGGCTTTTTTCCCCTTTATACATGTAGACTTTTTGGCCTAATTTTGGAAAACTACTTTTAAGAATATGTTCATCAACTTTACCAAAACTTCCAGGTCCAGAACTAGCTACTATTTAAGTTACTATTGACTGGATTTTCTTCATTTTCTGTTTAGCCCAGTGTTATCAAGGTAAGCAAGAGAAATGAAGTATGCCAACTTTTATCAAAGCATTTTAGGAAATTGTGGCAGCTTTAGAAGGCTGTCTAGTTTTCTATTCCTTAGCCAAAGGAGAGCCAGAACAGGTTTTGGATACTAGAGAAAGTCATACGCTTGTACTATTGCCATTTTAGAAAGCTCTGATGTGAATTCAAATTATACCTCTGTTACTTAAAGCCAACAATTTTAAAGCAGTAGTTTTATTGGCCACTTGAACTCTTTGTACACAGTGTCAATTTGTAAAAAAAAAAAAAAAAAGGGAAAAAAATCAAATAAAACGTGAGAGAACATTTTAAGACTTCCAAATCAGAGAATAGCTTCAATTATTTTGTTTGGATTAATTTTTAAAATGTAAAGCATATACTTGTTGCTTAGATATTTTGTTAATTATTATTTCCATGTTTGAATTCTGTGCAGTATTTTCCATTATGTCCATTGACAGGACAATAACAAAGAAAACTCATAAGTGAATACTTAATTTAGAAGTGTTAACATTAATGCTCAATAAACAATTCCCTGCAATTGTTTTTTTTATTTCACTCCATTTTTACATTTTTAAGGACATCCATACTGAATTTTATAAATTATTTATATTTATATTTTTAAGATGATTTTTATTTGTCATAGCATAGGTCTTCTCACTTACCTTTTTAACAGAAAAATACTGACTATATAACCAAAATTAGGAACAGATTGTCTTTCTCTAAGGACAAAAAAATTGTTGTATAAAGCAAATATGCATTCTTTGTATTTGATTTTTTTAAAGTATTTTTCATATTAATGGACCCTACACAATTTTGCCCAAAATATATGGTTCAAAAGAGATGATCAGTAAGTAAAATGTTTTTCATATGCACATGGTAAAATTTTAGGTAGTGATATTGGAACTTTGTATATTAATAACTTTAGTCAACATTTGAATAAAGAGAATCTTTACAGTTTCCCATAGTTCCCACATGAGCTCACATGCAATGTTTAGATAATGTTTTGTAGTTGAAAATGTGCTCTGAAAAAATGCAGAAACACTTAAAAAACTTGAGTGTATTGTGTTTTCACAAAATGGTACAGAAAGTGAAATACAGAACACAAGTTTAAGAAGGAAGTCTAACTTTTGTAAGTAATGATATTGAAAACGACAGTTAACCAAAATAAATGAATCGTTCTTATGAAGAATTATTAAATAATGGCTGGGATGCATCTTTAGACAGTTGACTGACTGACTATTCCAGGACAGTTATTAGCCTCACTTTGAGTATCACCATGGTTGGAATCCCTAGCAGCTACTTTCTTGTTTTAAAAAGAGCTTCTAAGTAGGTTGATTTATTATATATTTTAGACATCCACTTTCCCCTTTGACTTTAAATATTTCACTCTCTGAATATCTGGCTTACAGTAAAATAATTTAATTATCATCCAGTAGATGGATTCGAAGTGGAGAACTTACTGCTTTCTTAAAATGCCTTTTCCTCATCAGTGATGGTGAATGTTTACATGTATCTAGATAAAGAGATTTTTGTTCCTGAAATGCCACAAAACCCCTTAAGGCATGTTTGAACCACATGTGAAAGTAAGCAAGGTTCATCTGGTACATAATTTGTTAGTGACTTTAAAAACTCACTTATGGGAGTTCAACTTTTTTTTTTAATGCAAAAATGTTTTATGTATTACCCATATATTGCCCCTTGACTCAGAAATGTGAAATGTTTTCTAGAAGCATAGTGATTTCTCCTGATTTGTTATGGAGAATTTGACATACGACGCATTCTGTGCTTTCATCCAATTAGTTTAACTATATTCAGTTCCTGTAGTATTTCTTTCTGCTTGAGAAAGTCTGTCCTGAAATACATTGTGTACTTTGGAGGAAAAGAACAGTCCATATTGTTACTATAAATAATTCTACATAAAGTGAAAAAGGCATTTAAAAATTTTTGATGCATAATAAAGATAATTACAGCTACATTTATTGGCTTAAGTCCCATGCACTGTGCTAAGTCCTTTGCATACTTTATCTCACTTGATTTCAAAGCAGCCAGGAGTAGAGTACTGTTATCTACATTTGACAGATGGAGATACCCAGCGCACAAAAAGTTTAAGTAGATCTGCTCAAGGTCTACAGCTAAGTAAAAGGCTCAGATTGAAACCTAAATCTTTCTCACTCATCATGTTCTGTATGCTGTTCTCCTTATGTAACATTAAACAGGTCCTTGAGTTTGATAGGCTCATTAGTTTTGTTTAATCTAATTTCTTCTCTTTGGTTCTCTTTGTAGTGTTTAGATTATGAAGTTGATAGCCAAGGCTAATATCTAATTTACTATTGGACTTTTAAAAAATGTGTCCAGTATGATCTTACTTTTAAAATTTGGTTTTTAAACTTTTATAAGTGGTCATGAAATTTTAATTGTTAAGTTTGTACTTAATAGAAATCTTTCCATCAAAAAGTTCTTTAGTGAGTGTTATTTTGCATAATCGTAATACTGTTTCTTAGTAATAATTTTTGCAACGAAAGAATACAGGTATTTTGTACTGTATTTTGTAACATGGGAGAGAATGAAAACTCTACCTTGAAAGATATGAGGAAATCAGTATTTCTACCTTTAAAAACAGTCTATTTTAATGTCGTAAGTTTGCCAATTCTGTTGATTATTTAGTGCATTGGTAGTTTTTAAATGGCTAATGCTGGAATGAAAAACAGAAAAAATGTACTCAGTGTTTAGCAATAGGTATCATTTTCATTTAATTAAAAATTGCATATTTAATCTTCTAAAAATTGCCTTAGCTCTTAACTTTTATTCCAACCACTGATCAGTCTTTCTCTTTCCAAATTTAGGAGAGAAACAACCCTCAAATGTATGTAGGAGAGAAACGTGACACATTAGAGAACAAGAATTTTAATTGGTGATTTGGAGCAGCTAGATTGATAACCCTGGGCTTAACAAGACTGATATTTTAAAACTAGGCCCTGTATACTTTAACATCGTTACTTGGGAGGTAACACTAAACTTCAGTTCTTGTGACTAATAATACTTTTGAAGGAAGGGACAAGTAATTAACTATACTAGCTCATTTTCTAAGTGGTTTAGAAGTTTGCAGTCTGCCTCACCATACAAAGCCAATTTAAATATGAGTATATCATGATCATACTCCATACAGCAAACAACCTCAGAGAAAAGTCATTTATTCAGAAGACATAAATTTGCTCTAGACAGCAGTGATGCATTACAAATATATAATTATTTGCACTAATATTTGAGCAGGTGGAATGGATTAGAACATGGTCAACATTATGCTGCTGATAACATGTATTTTTCTGTATTAATATGTACTGTGCAACATGTATTAAAATTGTCAATAATTCATTTTAGCCAAGATTACTAATATTTATATTACTGTGTTGAAGAGACAGTATCTAGCTGAGCCACTTTTAAAGTCTGAAACTGGAACTAAGTTTACTTTCAAAAACCACTTAAATTACTTTATAATCTCTGGAAGGTCAATAAAATATAGAATTATCAGTGACTGGTGATTTAATAGGAAGAAGTATGGAGGGTTAAGAATAGGGGTACCTCTAAGAATAGGAGTAAGAATCTGGAATGAGTAAATTAAGTTTAATTTATGGCTCAGATGAGTGACTTCCTTTTGTTTTCAACATTGGCAGTCTTAAATGAAGGAAAATGTCTTTCTTCCAGAGTATCTTCATATTAATAAACTAAGTCTGAAGATTGGATGGAACCAGCTCCAAGGAATTAATCTCCAATGGTGGACTTTCAGATTTTTTAGATTAAACTTTGAGAGGTAGGAAGCCTTCTTGATGCCCCTGTAATCATTAATAGACAGTGCCTTTGAATGGGGTCATCCCTTTTTACCTGTCTATCATTTTAATCTTTATACTGTGAGTAAATTTGGTTTCTTTGAACTCTGGCATCTTGTTGTGACATTCTATCAAACCTGCAGCTTTTTTGGTATAGAGAGTATTATCCAAATAGAATCTGAACAATGCTGAACTAAACAGAACTGTGAAACTACCTCTAAGTATATTGTTTGCAAATGCTGTGCCCTGTTTAGGGGATTCACATGAAATTGTGTGAAAATACTTTATAAGGAGTAATACTAGTGCTTCTATATTAGAATTCTTCAGTAGAATGTATTTTCAGTTTTTGCCACAGGGGGAGAAGTTATTTTTATAGTAATACTTATATTTTTGTTTGATAAAAAATAGAACTCACATAGTTCCTCTCTATTAAACAGCACCTGTGAACATGTCACTATCCTAATAGGAAGAGTGTGTGTGTGTGTGTGTAAGTTTCTGAAAGTCATGTGAGAAGAATTTCTGGGTGAATTAATGACACAACTAAACAATTTTGAAGAACATGTATGTGCACAATGGACACAGGAATTGAACAGAATTCATCATAACTAAAATTGTTTTTTAGAGTTACATATCTCATTGAATTCCTTTATCAATTCTTTAAGAATAATAAGAATCTATTTATTAGTTTTCCGCTTTCTGCCTTCTAAAGAAAAAATTTTGGAACAATCTCAAACTTGCAGAAAGGTTGTAAATATTGTGCAAATAAAATTTTTCCACTTTGAGAGTAAGTTGCTGTCATGATGCCCCGTCACCCTGCAGTTCTCCTGTATTTCCAAAAAGAAGGAATTCTCCTATATAGCCACAATACAACCATCAAAATCAGGAAATTAATAATGATATATTACTCCTATCTAATCCTAAGACCCCATTCAAGTTTCACCAGTTGTCCCCATAACGTTTTTTAAGGATCCACTTCAAAATCATATGTTGCTTTAGGTTGTAGTTTCTTTCACTATGAAACAGTCCGTCAGGCTTTCCTTGACCTTTGTTACCCTTGGCACTTTTGTAGGTTATAAGGCAGTTATTATGTAAAATGTCCCTAAATTTGGATTTATGTGTTTTTCCATGAATAGATTCCATTTTCGCTTTTTTTAGCAGGGGTATTGCAAAAGCAATTCTGTTTCCTTATTGTGTCCTATGAGGTAATGAACAATTTCAGTTTGCCCCATTTCTGGTGATACTCATTTTTAGCACCCGCTTAAGGTACTACCCATCAGGCTTCTCCACTTTAAAGTTACTTTTTCCCTTTGCAAGTATTTTGTGGGAAGGCAGTTTGAAGCTATCTATTTATCCTACTCCTAATCAAAATTAAAATTTACTAATAGCAGTATGAATTCATGGTTTTCCAGTCAATGGATTATAATCTGTTACTTATTTTGAATCTCAAATTGTCCCATATTTGGCCAATGGGAGCCCCTTTGAAGTTGGCGTCTGTGTCCTTTTGATATGTTGCCATCATTTTCAGAGTACTATTTTACTTTTGGGCACATAGGATTTTCCATACTCATACTTTTCTGCCCCTGCTCTGGAATTAGCTGTTTTAGTGGAAATTGGTATTTAGAAGCCATAATTTGTACATGAGATGTGCTTATTATAATTGGGATGTCAGTGCCTCCACTACTACTCAGTGGATGGTGCTAGGGGGTTTTATGTGTGTATGTACATGTATATGTTTTAAATTTACATACACATACACTCTCCTGTGTGACACTCTTTTCACCTTATTTGAGCTCCAATACCCTATATTGTGTTTCTCTCCAGCACTCAGGAGGAAGGCTTCCTCACTCCACTGAGCCTCTGAGGCTTTGGTTTTAGGACAAAGTTGAGGGAATGAAAATCATTACAGAAAACATGTAAAGATTTTTAAATTCTAAATAAAAATCACTCATAATTTTGTCATTCAGAAACAACTATATTTTGGTATATTTTCTTTTATTGTAGTGATCAAATTAGTAAAGCTGAATTGAGGATGGTAAAGTGTTTATGCCAAAAAGATGGAACTTACATTTTGAAGGAATTAAATTTGAAATATCATGAAATATACATGTCCTTGCTACTATGAGTAGTTGTTAACTGATAAAGTACATAAGAGAATCTGATTTGGGGAATGGAAATCTTTCCATTAAGGACTGAATACCAATCGGATATTTTTATAATAAAATTCAAAGGAAAAATGATCATAAAATTGTTCTGTAGGCCAACAAATAAAAATATATTTAAGTAAGATAGACTTTATGTAAGAAAGGAGTCTGTAACAGGCTGGATTTAATACATGTTAAAATAAACTTCATGTGAAATAAGAGCCTGTACATGGGTAGATTGCTCAACTCTCAGTTTCCTTGTTCTTTATGATCATGCTAGGACTAAAATTTTATAATTCTAAATGCAGACATTCTATTAAGAGCTTCTAGTGATATTAGAAATAGATTAGCTTAAGAAATCATGTTTGAGCCCAGCTGAAAATATCTAAGAGGGGGATCTTCCCCCAGCGCTTCCAGCTTGCAGTGATCATACAACACTTTGACCAAGAGCTAAGGCTCTTGAATCAGGCAAATGGCAGATGTACATCTTAGCTTTGTCACTTGCTAATTATGTGACCTTGTGCAAGTGTTGTAAAGTGGGGAGAAGACATTTGTGATCATTTTAATGCTCACCACTTCTGTCAGCCTTTTGAAGGTGTTCATAGTCTCATTGGGATCACCTCATTCATTTTTCATCTGACATTTATTGAAATTCTGTCCTTCATCAGGTACTGTATTAGAAGTTAGGGATATTAATAAATAAAAATATCCTGCCTTCAAGAGGCTAGCCTAGTGAGAAAGTTAATGTATGGAACCAATTGTAGTATTCTGTAATAAGTGCTGTGATAGTAGCATGGAACCAGGTGCTGTGAGAGCCCACAGGGAGCGATTATTAAATTTGTGGGCTGGTGGGGAGGGTAGGTAATTAAAACTATTAAGGTTACCTTTTATCAAGCACCTGCTGCTTTATTGGCTTGGTCTACAAAAGGTCAATTTTTTAAAAATATTAAAATTCTAACAGTTCCAATCCTACACCTTGAATTCCCCTCAAACGTAGTTTGTAGTGGTTAATAAAGCTTTACTGCATGCTTAGGGGAATAACTAAAGAACAGTTCCAAATGTGATTTACTCTGCCATTGGCAGTGATTTTTCTCAGGTTCATGAGCCCTGTGGAGTTTCTATCAGGCTACCAGATGTTGAGGCTAATTTAACGCCCATCAACAAAACTCTCCAAGAACTTTCATGCTCCAAATTCAGACTCAGAAGAGGCTCTTTCTGCTCCACCCTCACTCTCCTGATTCCAAGGCCCATTCATTTTTCTGCTTTAAAATGATTGAGAGAACTGAAAGGCCAGTCACAGTAGAGTGGACTTCTCAAAGCCCAAGGTAGTTCATTTTAATAACACCACAGAGGAACACTGGGAGTCTTATCTAAATATACATATAGGAAAGTATTTCTCCTGTGCTTCAGCACCACATCACATCAACACCACATCAACAGCCAACACCACACGTAATTGCTAAACAGAACTCCTCATATGATGATAGCTAACACTCATGGAACATTTTATGCCAGATGTTATCTTAATGATTTTACATTCAGTCTACACAGAAACTCTCTGAGGTAGGTATTGATATTGTCATCATTTTTTTTATGGGTGAAAGAGTTGAGGTATGGAGAAACCCAAAGCAAATTGACCCAGGTAGGAGACGGTAGAACCAGGATTGAACATAGGCAGTCAGCCATTGGCACCTGTACTCTTAACCACTATGTTACTTTTCTTGGACAACCAGCTGCCCAGATGATAACATCTGGATTTGGACTTCTGACAACTTCACGTGTTTCTCCAAGATCAACTGATGAACTATTAATTTCATGTAACAAGAGACTCCTGGATAGTTTTCCCCAAAGGGTACGTATCAGAATATAATGGATTTATCTACTACAGAAATCCAAACTATCCAGCAACCCCCCCAAAGCCAGATCATTTCACAAAACAAACCAGCACATTTAAAACTGAAAAGTCCCAGTAATCCTGCCAAGAGCTCCACTCTGTTAGTAGTCATGCCATGTATTTTGGTTGGGGTAGCTTCTCTTAATGTTAAAGAAATCCATACTTTTCTACACTTAATATGCAGCAAGTTGAACATTGATGTGGCCCTTTAGAGCATGAGCAGAGGTTGAAAATACCTGAACCAACATGAAGAGTTCAGGGAGTGAGCCTTTCCTTTTATTTAGAGCCAATGGGTAAGAATTCATAGGCCTGGTGGTAATAATGTTACCTAAATTTGGGGCTAGGCTAGACCCAAAGCCTGATCCAAGTTCAAAGATGGACAAGAAAGACAACTTGGATTCATTTTAAGGTTACTTTGACCCAATTAACAACCCTGCAAGTGAGCAGTAATACAAGTATGTGAGTGGAGAGGCCTCAGTGTCTCCTTCGCTCTTCATGGAAGGATGCCCAAAGTTCAGAAGTCGAAACAGCAGTTTTCCAGCAAAGAATCACCACACAACTCTACCTCATAGCATCTAATTAGCCTAGGATGAAGGCCCTATAAGGACTCAAGGGTTTATTTTATCATTCACTCAATTCAATAAATATTTATTGAACACCTACTATGAAGTAGGCTTTATTCTAGGCACATGGGATGCATCAGTGAACAAGGTCTCAGATGTTGAACTTACCTTCTAACAGCAGAAGCCAATAAATAACTATTAATAAGTAAATTCTACAGCACATTAAAAGGTGAAAGTGCTTTGAGCTAAAATGAAACTAGATCAGGGTATAGAAAAGAAGTTGGCAGGAAAGTTTCCATTTTAAATGTGGTCAGGATGGCAGGGTCAGCTTCCTGTGTGTGTAATCTGTGCAGCGGCACAAGGCTCGTGCTCAGAAGGGGTTACACTTGGTATGCTACTCTGCTGACATCATTTTGAAATTCTTAATTTTATCTTTGAACTTAGGTTTTTTAAGTGAAATCTATTGGGACAAGGGAGTATTTGTGTAAGCAGAGGAGAGATGCACAA